TAAGGAGCACTCCCTTTAAGAGTGGTGCTCCTAATCTCACTCGTTACCTGTAAAAAGACACCTGGGAGCCAGAAATCTTTCTGATTGAGAAGGGGGGTCAAAATACTTATTTTTCCCTCATTAAAATGCCAAATCAATTTATAAACATTTTTTGACATTCGTTTTGCTGGATTTTTTTGTTGTTATTCTGTCTCTCACTGTTCAAATAAACCCTACCCATTAAAATTATAGATTGATCATGTCTTTGTCAGTGGGCAAACATACAAAATCAGCAGGGGGATACAAATACTTTTTTTCCCTCACTGGTACCTCCCCTCTATTACCAACCCCCGGGGTAGACCTCCCGGGATACCACACACCCCCACTTAGCCCTGACCGGGAGGGAGACGTGCTCAGGGCTAGGTTTGCATCCCTCCTGGAGAGGGCGTCCACATTGCCGTGCTGGGCCCCCGACCTGTGGATGACAGAGAAAGAGAATCGCTGTAAGGACAGGAACCAGCGGGTGATGCGGTCATTCGTGTCCTTACCTCTTGCCATCCACAGGAGGGGGGCATGGTCAGTGATCAGGGTGAACTTCCTCCCGAGGAGGTAATACTTGAGGGTGTCCAGCGCCCACTTCACTGCGAGGCACTCCTTCTCGACAATCGAGTACTTCTTTCCCTCGGGAGGAGCTCCCTGCTGACATACATTATGGGGTGCTCCTCATCCTTCCTGCTCTTGGGACAAGACGACCCCTACCCTTGTGTCAGATGAGTCTGTCTGGACCAAGAGGTGTTTTGAGAAGTCCGGGGTGACGAGTACCGGGTGCGAACATAACGTGTCCTTCAGGGCCTGGAATGCTGCCACTGTTTCCTCCATCCATCGCACCATCTGGGGTAGGCGTGCCTTCATTAGGTCTGTGAGGGGAGGAGCTATTGCGGCAAAGTTAGGTACAAATCGACTGTAGTATCCTGCTAACCCCAGGAACAACTTCACCTGCCTCTTGGCTCGGGGGACCGGCCATTCCCTAATGGTGGCAATTTTTTTTCTTGGGGCTTGACATTTCCCTGCCCGATTCGATAGCGCAGGTACTCCACCTCAGTGTAGCCCAGCTTGCACTTGTGGGGGTTCGTGGTTTGCAACCTGAAAGGCCGCTCAGCAAAGAAGAAGCCACTGCTCCAAAACTGCCATAAAAAAGGCCAGACTACGGTTTGCAACTGCACATGGGGACAAAGATCATACTTTTTGGAGAAATGTCCTGTGGTCTGATGAAACAAATATAGAACTGTTTGGCCATAATGACCATCTTTATGTTTGGAGGAAAAAGGGGGTGCTTGCAAGCCGAAGAACACCATCCCAAACATGAAGCACGGGGGTGGCAGCATCATGCAGTGGGGGTGCTTTGCTGCAGGAGGGACTGGTGCACATCACAAAATAGATGGCATCATGAGGAAGGAAATTGATGTGGATATATTGAAGCAACATCTCAAGATATCAGTCAGGAAGTTAAAGCTTGGTCGCAAATGGTCTTCCAAATGGACAATGACCCCAAGCATAATTCCAAAGTTGTGGCAAAATGGCTTAAGGACAACAAAGTCAAGGTATTGGCGTGGCCATCACAAAGCCCTGACCTCAATCCTATAGAACATTTGTGGGCAGAACTGAAAAAGTGTGTGCAAGCAAGGAGGCCTACAAACCTGACTCAGTTACACCAACTCTGTCAGGAGGAATGGGCCAAAATTCACCCAACTTATTGTGGGAAGCTTGTGGAAGGCTACCCGAAACTTTTGACCCAAGTTAAACAATTTAAAGGCAATGCTACCAAATACTAATTGAGTGTATGTAAACGTCTGACCCACTGGGAATGTGATGAAAGAAATAAAAGCTGAAATAAATCATTCTCTCTACTATTATTCTGACATTTCACATTCTTAAAATAAAGTGGTGATCCTAACTGACCTAAGACAGGGAAGTTTTACTAGGATTAAATGTCAGGAATTGTGAAAAATTGAGTTTAAATGTTTTGGTGTATGTAAACTTCCGACTTCAACTGTAGCCCCCCCGGGGTGGAGAAGGCCGTCTTCTCCCGGGAGGCCGCTGCCAGCGGCACCTGCCAGTACCCTTTCGTCAAGTCCAGGGTGCTGACGTATCTCGCCTTCCCCAAGCGGTCGATCAGTTCGACCTCCCGGGCCATGGGGTAGGCATCAAATTTACTGACCTTGTTCAGGCCCCGGAAGTCGTCGCAGAACCAGACGGTTCCGTCCGGTTTTGGTATCAGCACTATAGGGCTAGACCCCTCACTGTGGGACTCCTCCAGTACCCCCATCTCTAGCATTGTCGTCACTTCCCGCTGGGTCGCCGCCCTCCAGGCTTCTGGTCTTCCCCCATGGAAACTTTGACAGAGGGCGGGTTCTGCTGTGGCTGGGTCCACGTTGCGCACAGCGCCTCTCGTGCATGCCACCTCTTCAGAAGGTTCACATGGTAAAGCTGGAGGGGTTTCTCTGCACCGGTTGGCGGACCTTATAATTGACGTCGCCTACCCGCTCGACGATGTCGTAGGGCCCATGCCACGTAGCCAGGAATTTGCTCTCCATTGTGGGGATCAACACCAAGACCAGGTGGAACTCTAGTGGTTGGGCCCCCCGGTTGTATACACGCTCCTGGGCGCGTTGCCCAGGAGGGCATATCTCCCCCATCTCCTCCACGTGTTCCACCATGCTGCGAAGGGGGGTCGGTTGATCCTCCCAGACCTCCTTAGCTAGGTCCAGCAGTCCACGGTGCCGATGGCCATACAGGAGCTCAAAGGTGGAGAACCCAGTGGATGCTTGGGGTACGTCGCGCACCAAGAACATCAGGTGGGGCAGCAGCTGGTCCCAGTTCCTCCTGTCTCTCTCGATGACCTTCTTCAGCATCTGCTTTAGGGTCTTATTGAAGCGTTCGTCTAGCCCGTCCGTTTGTGGATGGTACACACTGGTCCTCACCTGTTTGATTCGTAAAAGATTGCAGACATGAATGCGGTGCCCTGGCCCGTCAGGATTTCCAGCTGGATACCCACCCAGCTGAATAAATGGAAGAGCTCCCGTGCGTAATGGGATCGCCTCCGGATACCGGGTGGCGTAATCCATGATTACCAGGATGTATTGGTGTCCCCTCACGGTCTTCACCAACGGACCCACCAGATCCATCGCCACCCGCTCAAATGGAACCCCTATAATGGGCAGGGGAACCAAAGGGTTTCTATTTTTTTTTTTTTTTTTTTATAATGTGCCCTCGGGGCTGTGATCTGGCACTCCGGGCAGGTACGGCAGTAGTCCTCCACGGTGCGCTTAACTCCGGGCCAGTGGAACCGATTCCCAATCCGCTCGCTGGTTTTCTCCATCCCCGGGTGTGCCCCGAGCAGTTGGGTGTGTGCGAGCTGCAAGACAGTACTAACATACTGGGTGGGTATGAGTAACAAGTCTTTCGTCTCCCCATTGTGCTTTACTACCTGATACAATAAATTACCCTTGATGGCGAAATGTGGGTAGCGCCACACACCTACCCCGGGTAACAGCGTGTCGTCCACCACGATCACCTGGCCCCTCGCGCTCTGGAGGTTGGGGTCCTCTAACTGGGCCGTTCCGAACTGGCCCGTGAGGATTCCCGTGTTGGGCGGCCCATCTGGTGCCTCCACCTCCATAAAGGGGAGCCTGAGGGTCCTCCTTGGACGATGGCTTGCTTCCCGGTGCGGGGTCATCTCCTTCCTCCTGGTCCGACTCGGACCCAGTGGACACCTCGCGGGGCGGGGGTTGCGCAGGCAACTCCCTCTCCTTCCTACCTCGTGTGCGCGCCTCCCCAGGTTCCTCCTCCACTGTGCCTGGAAGAAAGGGCAATCTCACCCGAGGAGAATGGGCACGGGCAGGTTAGGAACAGCCTCCACGCACATCTGACACTCCCCCCTTGGGGTGGTTATCCGCACCGGCACGGTTGGGTACCTCTTCGTGTCCCCTGTACACAGGACACCGTCATCTCCTCGTCCCCCAGTTCGTCTTTCCCCTCTCATGTGAGCCACTGAGGTTGGGCCAGGGTCACCATGCTGCCGTAGTCTAGCAGAGCGCTGGTGTCGACGCCATCAATCCGTACTGGAACCATCGGAATGGGCCGTCTCGGTGTGCGCCCAACAGGAGGTGCCTTAACTCGCCATCCGGGCTACCCTGGAGCTGGGGGATGCGGAGGGCATGGACTCCTCCCGGCTGGGGTAGCTCCAAGTGAGGTGTCCCGGTTCGCCGCACTCATAGCAGCTCCTCTGATCTGGGTCTAGCAGCGGACGTCGTCGTCGTCGGTTTGGGTCGCCCTCCCGCTTCATGGCCTCGGCTGGTTCCGTCCGGGCTCCCTTCAGCCCCTCTCCTCTATCTGTGCTATTCTTCCCCCTTCCCACGTCTGTTCTCTCCTCCCGGGCCCCTTTCAGCAGGTCCTGGGTGTTCTGGTGGGTTTCCACCGTGGTCAGCAAATCCTCCAGGCTTTGGGGATTCTGCATGCACACCGCCTTCTTCATCTCGTAGGGGAGGGCCCGAAGATACCGATCCAGGACGACCTTATCGATTATCGGGAGGGACGAGACGTCGGTCAGTAGCCAGCCCTTGGTAAGGCGCACCAGGTCGCTCATCTGAGTGCGGAGAGAGATGGCGGTGTCAAAGGCCCAGTTGTGCACAGCGTGCGAGGCTGAATCCTTAACAGCTCAGGATCTCACGTTTGAGTACCTCATAATTCGCTGCCTGGTCGGCGTTCAAGTCGAAGTAGGCCTTCTGGGCCTTCCCGGAGAGGTAGGGTGGCCAAAAGGCTGTCCCACTTGGGCTTGGGCCATCCTTCCCTCTGCGCCGTCCTCTCGAGGGGTGCACAAATACGTCTCCACGTCATATTTCCTCCATTAGCTTGACCAGGAACTGATTTGGGCTAGACTCCTGAGGCATACCACCTTTCAACTGGGCTACCTCCGCTACCAGTCAGAGGTTTTGTTGTCGCTGCTCCTCCAGCGCTTGCTCATGGAGAGCCTGTTGCTTCTGCTGGCTGAGGATAAACTGAGCCACAAGTTCCTGCATGGTAATCTCCATATGCTCGACCCCACGGCACCCAAAGCTACTGAGTTACCCACATTCTCGTGGAGTGTTGGGTTGAGTGCACAGAGATGGACACAGAGACCGGGAGGTTCTAGTCAGAAAACACGACTTTACTAGGCAACAAACATAAACATAACAACAAAATAACTTACGGTTGGCTCGGTCCTTCTTCTCATATTCGGCGCCGTGCCTCCGGGAGCTTCGTTCCCCTCTGTAGGCTCACTCCTTTCTCTCTTTTTCTCCCTCACGGTGTGCCACGGTGCTCCCTTTATGTGGCCTGCATGGCTGGTTGGCACTCTCCCCTAATTACCCCTACTTGGTGCCATCAATGTCGGGGTGCCCAGCCTGGGTACTAACAGCAGAGGGAGCCAAAGTCGCGGCACGTACCTCCCCTCTATCATCAACCCCCGGGGTAGACCTCCCGGGATACCACAACAGTTATTTCATTTTCATGACGGTCTTCATCCATAACCGTCAGTTACATGGGTATACAGTGGGGGAAAAAAGTATTTAGTCATGTATGCAAGCATGACTGTAAGTCGCTTTGGATAAAAGTGTCTGATAAATGTCAATATTGTTATTACATACAATTTAGAATGGAAAAACAGTGTTTTACTCTAGTGAAAGGAGGATAAACTGCACTGATTCCAACTAAAAATGAGCTTCTGAAGACTGAACTGCATCGTGCTAGCCTGCTGAAAAACAACAACATATGACACATTTTCAATATATTGGTATTTAACTATGTTTTCATTGATTGTAGGGCGGAAGCCACTGAATTCTGGTAGTTGTCACTTGAAAGGAAAAACATAAATCACAAAATTTGCAGCTTGCACTGCCTTTCGCCCCAGGCATTGCCTCAGTGAACGGTCCTTGCTCTCCGGGATCCTTGGGATGTCCCTTTCCCATTGAAGTTGAAATCAGACACACCGGTAGGATTGTCAAATGTTTATTGGCTGTCAATCTCTTTTGTGTTCACACAGCAAAGACCTTGGAAGTCGTCAGCCACTTAGCCTTGTTAAAATACTCCAAACCAGAAGGTGGCAGTAGCGTTGTTTGGCAATGCATATCCGTGCGTATTGCTTATGGTCTAGATTCTAAGCTATCTGTGCTAATGCTGCTATTTTGTAGAAAGCCCTTTTTAATACTAGCAGATGGCCTCAGCTAGATACAGTGGGGGGGAAAAGTATTTAGTCAGCCACCAATTGTGCAAGTTCTCCCACTTAAAAATATGAGAGAGGCCTGTAATTTTCATCATAGGTACACGTCAACTATGACAGACAAATTGAGAGAAAAAAATCCAGAAAATCACATTGTAGGATTTTTAATTAATTTATTTGCAAATTATGGTGGAAAATAAGTATTTGGTCACCTACAAACAAGCAGATTTCTGGCTCTCACAGACCTGTAACTTCTTCTTTAAGAGGCTCCTCTGTCCTCCACTCATTACCTGTATTAATGGGCACCTGTTTGAAACTTGTTATCAGTATAAAAGACACCCTGTCCACAACCTCAAACAGTCACACTCCAAACTCCACTATGGCCAAGACCAAAGAGCTGTCAAAGGACACCAGAAACAAAATTGTAGACTGCACCAGGCTGGGAAGACTGAATCTGCAATAGGTAAGCAGCTTGGTTTGAAGAAATCAACTGTGGGGAGCAATTATTAGGAAATGGAAGATATACAAGACCACTGATAATCTCCCTCGATCTGGGGCTCCACGCAAGATCTCACCCGTGGTGTCAAAATGATCACAAGAATGGTGAGCAAAAATCCCAGAACCACACTGGGGGACCTAGTGAATGACCTGCCAGAGAGCTGGGACCAAAGTAAACAAAGCCTACCATCAGTAACACACTACGCCGCCAGGGATTCAAATCCTGCAGTGCCAGACGTGTCCCCCTGCTTAAGCCAGTACATGTCCAGGCCCGTCTGAAGTTTGCTAGAGTGCATTTGGATGATCCAGAAGAGGATTGGGAGAATGTCATATGGTCAGATGAAACCAAAATATAACTTTTTGGTAAAAACTCAACTCTTCGTGTTTGGAGGACAAAGAATGCTGAGTTGCATCCAAAGATCACCATACCTACTGTGAAGCATGGGGGTGGAAACATCATGCTTTGGGGCTGTTTCTCTGCAAAGGGACCAGGATGACTGATCCGTGTAAAGGAAAGAATGAATGGGGCCATGTATTGTGAGATTTTGAGTGAAAACCTCCTTCCATCAGCAAGGGCATTGCAGATGAAACGTGGCTGGGTCTTTCAGCATGACAATGATCCCAAACACACCGCCCGGGCAACGAAGGAGTGGCTTCGTAAGAAGCATTTCAAGGTCCTGGAGTGGCCTAGCCAGTCTCCAGATCTCAATCCCATAGAAAATCTTTGGAGGGAGTTGAAAGTCCGTGTTGCCCAGCGACAGCCCCAAAACATCACTGCTCTAGAGGAGATCTGCATGGAGGAATGGGCCAAAATACCAGCAACAGTGTGTGAAAACCTTGTGAAGACTTACAGAAAACGTTTGACCTGTGTCATTGCCAACAAAGGGTATATAACAAAGTATTGAGAAACTTTTGTTATTGACCAAATACTTATTTTCCACCATAATTTGCAAATAAATTCATTAAAAATCCTACAATGTGATTTTCTGGATTTTTTTTTCTCATTTTGTCTGTTATAGTTGACGTGTACCTATGATGAAAAATATTTTTAAGTGGGAGAACTTGCACAATTGGTGGCTGACTAAATACTTTTTTCCCCCACTATATGGTAATTGTGCCAGCCCAAGTCGCTCGTTGACATTTGGATCTCCACGCTGTCCTATTCTGGGCCAGGTCCCAGGCTGATGTAGTGTTGAGTCCCAGGTTGTGTAGGTCGTCCTGCAACTGGTTGGACCACCTGGCTCTCGGTCTTCCTCTTGGGCGTGGACAGTTGGGAGATAGCTCATGATCTCGAGGGTAAGATGTATAATGTCCATGAGCTCGGCCAAGATTGCCATGTCTTCCGGTTAGTCCAGGTCAGAAAAGCTGAGGCTCCCATAGCCGGTCCCACATATACTTCGGGCGACAGTCCTTAGGTGAGACCTCTATGGATGATCCAAAAAAGTTATCTGATAGGTCCAAAAGTGATCTTGGACACGCCCCCAGTCTTAATTTAAATCCCCCAGTAAGAAGTTTAGCCCAATCTGCTACTGAGAGATAATTAACTACTACACTTGGCAAAGTCATCAGATTCATTGAGTTATTTCATAGAAATGAGAACACGGATTCACTTCTGGCGAACTTTATTATAAGCAAGAAAGTTAACAATAACATTAGCCATTTAGGCATTCATTGGGTATAGAGCCTACTAAACTACTGCAAAGTTTGATTGTTTGCTTTTTTATACAAAATTGTATGTCAATCTACCTAGATTCAGATAATAGGCAACATAATGTGGTTACCTAATGGCTGTAATATTGGAGAACTTGACATTACTTATGTAAGTGCAAATACAGTGCCGTGAAAAATTATTTGCCCCCTTTCTGATTTTCTCAATTTTTTGCATATTTTTAATACTAAATGTTATCAGATCTTCAACCAAAACCTAATATTAGATAAAGGGAACCTGAGTTTACAAATAACCCCAAAAAGTATACTTATTTTATTTATTTAATTAACAAAGTTATGCAACACCCAATTCCCCTGTGTGAAAAAGTAATTGCCCCCTTACACTCAATAACTGGTTGTGCCACCTTTAGCTGCAACGACTGCAACCAAATGCTTCCTGTAGTTGTTGATCAGTCTCTCACATCGCTGTGGAGGAATTTTAGCCCAGTCTTGCATGCAGAACTGCTTTAACAGCGACATTTGTGGGTTTTCAAGCATGAACTGCTCATTTCAAGTAATGCCACAACATCTCAATTGGGATTAGGTCTGAACTTTGACTAGGCCATTCCAAAACTTCAAATGTGTTGCTTTTTAGCCATTTTCATGTAGACTTGATTGTGTGTTTTGGATCATTGTCTTGCTGCATGACCCAGCTGCGCTTCAGCTTCAGCTCACAGATGGATGGCCTGACATTCTCCTGTAGAATTCTCTGTTACGGAGCAAAATTCACTGTTCCTTCTATTAAAGCAAGTCGTTCAGGTCCTGAGGCAGCAAAGCATCCTCAAACCATCACACTACCACCACTACGCTTGACCGTTGGTATGAGGTTCTTACTGTGGAATGCAGTGTTGGGTTTTCGCCAGGCATAATGGAACCCATGTAGTCCGAAAAGTTTACTCAAGTTTACTCAAGTTTGCCAAAAAGCACCTGAAAGCACCTGGATGATCATCAAGGCTCTTGTAAGAATGTTCTATGGACAGATGATTAAAAAGTATAACTTTTTGGACTACAGGAAGTGTTTGGTTGGAGTCAATGCAGCTAAAGGTGACACAACCAGTTATTGAGTGTAAGGGGGCAATTACTTTTTCACACAGGGGCATTGGGTGTTGCATAACTTTGTTTATGAAGTATGTAATTGTTGTGTTATTTGTTCACTCAGGTTCCCTTTATCTAATATTAGGTTTTGGTTGAAGATCTGATAACATTCAGTATCAAAAATATGCAAAAGTTGGGAAAATTTGAAAGGGGGCAAATACTTTTTCACAGCACTGTAGATGACTAGGATTGTCACCATGGGCCTGGTTTTATTAACTGTATTTGTGGGCAGTCCTGATTCTTGTAGCACCCCTTAGTTAATGTTGCAAGTGGAAAGTGTAAAGGTTGGTGTGAGGTGTGACTCAGGTGCGGTACAGGATATACAGTAGGCAGAGATGGTGAAACAAGGATCTTTACTGGTGGTCCCGAAGCCAGAATACCAAATAACGGACTTATCACGATAAAAGAAAGGCGGAGCAAATAAGTCTCCAAAAACAGGCTGACAGACAAAATACGAAATACTAACTACGACTGAAACAAATAAAGAAACAGGGAGAACACTTCTCAAGTACCTGTACATACGTCTCCAATCAGACACTGATTAGTACTGCTGGGCATAGAGAAACTAGCAGAGAAAACTGAGCAAGGGAACACAGGGAAGTGAGGGCATAAATACACAAGTGAACAGGTAGACACAGGTGACACCAATAGGATCATGATTAGTCCAGACTGTGAGTGAGGAGGTGCCTAAGGTTGTCGGAGGAGGAGGAGGACACCTAGTGGATCGCTCCAGAACTGCGACCCCCTCCTGTAACAGGAAAGTGTGACCACTTTTTGTCCCTAACTAATAAATTATATTACAAGACTGTCTGGTAGCTTTTTTGCCCTGGCACAGTGACACACACACACACACACACACACACACACACACACACACACACACACACACACACACACACACACACACACACACACAGCCATCACAGCCATGGCCAACTGGCAAACAAAACTAGATTCCACTGTGGTAAAGAAAGAATTTCCCCCCAAACCTCGCTCTGTCTCCCTCCAGTGCTGCTCTAATGGATTGGGGCTAAGGGAGTGTTTTTATTGTCAGAATGAGCCCAGAGGTGATATGAAGTTTATTATTAACAGAATGATAATTACATAGGACAACCTAACATCTGTATGATGACTGGCTTGCCCAAACTACCTCTAACATAATCACCACTCTGATGTTACTGTATACATACGTCTTGCACTGTGACATAAAGTAGATCCATTACAACACTGGGAAGTAGGAACACTGGGAACTCATACATTCTTTGGTGTTGATTAAGTGCAGAGCATATGAGCAGAGTTGAGCGGTTGGAAATCCCTCTTATCGCTCATGGACCGCTCCAGCGTAAAAACCGCTTGCGCTCACAGGAAATAAAACTGCTGCTCCAAATTCGCACCATTAATTAAAATCACAATTTAACCAATACCCATCTATTTTTGGGACTATCTGGACCTACCAGTTGGTTTTTAAGTATTGAAACCAAACCTTATGGATTTTAATGAAAGGTTATTTTAATAAACATGAAAAGGTGACTGTAAGAAGCTAACATCATTTCAAATAGGCTACATTTCATATTAAACAGCATATAATCACTCTAAATAGGTCAGGAGGACAGACAGGGAGCCTAAGAAGCAACTAAAATGAATTATATAGGCTATATTATTTCTATTATTTCAAGGCTACAGCCTACAAAGAAATACACATAAAGCACTCAGCATTTAAACAACATTTTGTTGTATTAAATCATTATAGTCTATAAATTGCGCATATAGGCTGTGACTTACTTAGAAATAAATACAAATTAAACGAAAAATGACTTATTAGTGTCTTTTAATTCATTTTTAGAAACAGGAGTTCGGCCAGTCTATGGCCTCGGCTCATGCGATGGTGCCTGGAGAGCCGGCCAGCAGCAGAGAATATCCTCTCCAGACTTGTAGAGCCGCTGGGGATGATAAACACCCCTTTGGCCACTCTTGCCAGGCTGGGCGGAGATGCAGAGTTGTTTTAAAAATGTTCTATAGGTAGGCCTAAAGGTTTTTAGGCAAAATAACTCAAACAGAAAGTTCCTTGAATGTGGGAATAATTATGGCCTATTGTATAGAAAATAGAATGAAAATGAACAAAACGTTTAAGAGATCAGATTTTTTGTTTATAAATACTTTTCTACAATGACACACTTAGTTATCAAACAAAATTGGAGTCTGCTCCACACTCCAGTCAAATTGGGCACACTCCTTGCTCCACTCCAGCTCCGCTCTGCTCACATTGATTCAATGCATGCAAGGCCTGAAATACGACTACTATACCCCAAACACCCAGTGCCTGCACACAGCTTCTAATCAAGTATACATTGTGTGTAATTAAAAGAAAGGGGAAAAGACTGAATACGACCCAAAGATCGTATGCCGCAGGAGGTTGAGCATCTCATCATGGTTAACCTCAGATTTAGAATATTCCTGATGTCCTACAGTGGGCCTATACAGTAGCATTAGGTTGTCCTCATTATTCTCACATAATGTAAAGCTGTTGGTTAAAAGATATACGTATTTGTTCCATTATTAATTGTATGAATTGATACATTTTTGCACTACACTCAGCATGATCTCTTGTGTCCCTCAAACACAGGCGTGTTTCTGTTTTGAAGTCACAAATACGTCGCTAGTTACAGTATACAGTATTAGCTAGCTCTGCTAATGGGGGATGGCAGTAAGTGAATTGTGCTAATATAAGAGTCAGGAGAGTTGCTCCACTGTGGTAGAGAAGACCAGAGGTGGAGGACACCTGCTTCAGCATGACTCAACACAATGGCCTCTTCCTTTGAAGCTGCTCTAAGATGTCTTCATACCCATAACATGATGCTGCCACCACAATCTTATATGTTGCCCTAAGAGTTGTGTAAAGTTGGTAGAATCTTATTCCAAATAATTCACAGCTGTAATGGCTGACAAAGGTGCTTCCACCAAGTATTAACTCTGGGGTGTGAAGACATCCTCAATCAAGACATCTTTGTTTTAATTTTATTATCATTAATTTGGGAAATGTTCTATAACTTTCTTTCACTTTGAAAATGTGGAGTAGGTTGTGTAGATCTGTAGGGGGAAAAATGAAATGTAATCCCTTCAGCAAAATGTGAAGACTGTGCAAGGGCACTGTATTTCACACCTTATTATTTCTTTGCCATGGCAAAAAGCTAATTTGACCGCTAACAGATGGAGGTTGTGAGATGGAAAGGTTAAAGGTCACTACGAGAGTGTGATCCAGAATGATCCAGTTTGGAAATGTAGGCTACTGTAGTTATTGAACTCTCCCCTGCTCTTGTTCTGACGGATCAATGTGGCTAAGATAACGTTGGATTTACAGTTTAATAATGGAACCGAATCGTTAAATTGTGAGATTGTCACGGCTTTACAAATGGAACAATACTATGGAAAGTGAAATAATGTATAAGCCAGTTTTTCCCCCTATTCTCTTACCACAAACCAGCAGAAACTATGTCTCAGACTCAATGGCACTCAGTAAATTTAATTTAAGTCGCCAACTTTGCATGACCTTTGCATGATACTACTCTAAGGTGATTGTAGGATGTATGATATACTGTAGTTCAAGGTAGTGTACACATATCCAGCATATTGTAAGTAAGTATATCTCAACAGCCTTCCCTTCCCCACACAGTGTAGAAACAGCCTCACATGGATCCATTAGTCCTGACCTTTACCGCCAGCAGGTGTGTCCTTTTTCAAACAGTCAGCCCTCTGTCCTACCCTTGCCCAAAGATAGTGGATTTTCGGGATAAAGCCACTTATAATGGGATGAGAGAAGTCCTGAGAATAGAAACCTGCTGCCTTGCCACTCCCCCCGCCTCCCTACGCACACCGAGCGGACGGAATCCCAGGCGCTCTGCAGAGCGGTGACTGCCGGAATTCTACAGATTGTTTGCGGATCAGTCACACAGCTGCAAGAGAGACAGACAGACGGCCACACTTCGCCACCTAGTTAGAGGGCCAGATAACGGCACCAAAGACATTCACATGCCCCTCTCTGCTGCCCACTCTCTTCTTTGATGTCTACACACACATAGACTACACACACACATACACACACACACTAAGGGTATACATAGACACTCACAAGTGTATGCTCTCTCACAAGTGTATGGTAATTCATGAAGACATTATCTGCCATGAAGATATGCATGTCTACTACAAAAGATGCATCATCATACGCTTGCGTAAATGTAGACCGCACAGGCCTGTAGTTGAGCAACATCCAAATTATTACATTATATTGAATTGTGTTTAAGTACAACTAGGATGTACCTTTCTTACCTTGAAAAATAAACATTTTTGTTTTCAAGCACAAATCAATCGTCTTTTTGTGGCACTTAGTGTGAGCTAAATGAAGGTACCTTCCACCTAAATGAAAGTACCTTTCAGATGAAAAGGAAAACAAGATTCTCTACATTGAGCATCGTTCAAAGCCTCTTCCCAGAACCTTGGGTAGTGTACGACCGTGACCTTCACACCACTACGGCTCAAGCTATTTTTATGTATTTAACGTTTCGGACCGAGCCCAGACAGGTTAGCAGTTTGAAGGGCAGTAATACCTCGTGAGATCAATGTGTGTCTGGTATGAGGCTAACGTGAGCAATTTATAGATTTGGTCTGTGTCACTGCTCCCCCCAAGGCCCCATAGCCAAACTAGCGCCCGCTCTCATATAGTTGGAGGGCGGCGTTGTCTTCACGCCCTCATAACCAGAGATTTATGTCTAAAGTCAACACGCTGCTCTACCTGTAGGTCACATGAATGTGAGGATTGAAATTGTCCGTCCAATAGAGAAGTGCCATTATCCTGTGGTACAGTGAGGGAAAAAAGTATTTGATCCCCTGCTGATTTTGTACGTTTGCCCACTGACAAAGACATGATCAGTCTATACTTTTAATGGTAGGTTTATTTGAACAGTGAGAGACAGAATAACAACAACAAAATCCAGAAAAACGCATGTCAAACATGTTATAAATTGATTTGCATTTTAGTGAGGGAAATAAGTATTTGACCCCCTCTCAATCAGAAAGAAAAATCAATTTTAATTGCACATACCCGAGGCCCGTGGCAATTATATCAGACCCGACCCAGATCCGAGACAAAACCTGAATTTAGGACCCGGACCCACTCGGGTCCCAGGTCGGATCTTGGAATTTCGGGTCTGGTGGACCCGTGAAGACCTCTTCTTGGCTCACCTCACACTTACAAAGAGAGAGGTGTTTGGCTCCCTTTGATGTTTACTGTGTCACAGTGCATTAACATTTTCCTTAAAGATGGACTCCGCAGTAGGGGGAAACAGCGCCACTGTCCGCCCCATGGTTGTTGTTATTATTTTGTTGACAAGCAGAGGTGGGCAAAGCTGGGGGTAAAATGGCAGTACATATGCTGCTGTTCTATTGCATGCGCAATAATGTCTGAGGTGTTTGTTGTTTGCAGTAACTTCTTTATTGTTGTAATATCCCAAACGGACGTGGCACTTTCACCATTAAGGATTCCAGCTTTAATGCTTCTCAAACCAAGTCCCAGGTATTTCCTGTTCTCTCTCTCTCTCTCTCTGTTTGTGCTGGTCCAGAGCTGATGGAGACGCGGACGGTGCGGCCTTTCTCCTTCTCCTTCAACACCAGTGACTACCGCATCCTGCACATGGATCAGGACCAGGGCCGTCTCTACCTGGGCAGCCGGGAGTACCTGGTGGCCCTGGACATGCACAACATCAACAAGGAGCCCCTCATAGTAAGAGCAAACACTATGATGACTCCTATGATAAATATTCCACAGAGACAGATACATATATTACCTGATTTCCCTGACCAAGATGGCCGTCCTAGAGTGAAGTCGCCAGGACCCATTCTAGTGTTTTATTTAATTTTATGAAATATTCAGCCACTGTACCCATCTACGCCTATGAGTGCAAATAAAAGTAACATTTGACGTCCACAGGTAAAATGCTTTTATTTTATTATGACCTATTATAAACATGAATGAGCCTATATGATATCTTATTTGAAGGCTTAGAATATGTAATCTATGTAGAAAATCATACAATGCACCAGATCTGAAATGTTGCATGTTGTACACTTCTTCCTTCAGATTCACTGGCCGGCCACTACCCAGAGGAAAGGAGAGTGTAGAATGACTGGAAAGGGTGGGCAGGTTAGTGTCCTTTTTTTCCTTTTCTTTAGGGGGTAGATCAGCTTTAATATTGCAGATAGATTGTAACTTCCATCAATGTAATTGTCTGCATCACTTCCAATCCCCCATATGTTTTTTTCTCTCGCATATATATATATATATATATATATATATATATATATATACACACACACACACACACACACACACATACATTTAAATACATATACATACACTACCGTTCAAAAGTTTGGGGTCACTTAGAAATTTCCTTGTTTACGAAAAGCAACTATTTTGTCCAATAAAATGACATCAAATTGATCAGAAATATGTTGTAAATGACTGATTTTTTTAATGGAATATCTACATAGGCGTACAGAGGCCCATTATCAGCAACCATCAATCCTGTGTTCCAATGGCACGTTGTGTTTGCTAATCCAAGTTTATCATTTAAAAAGGCTAATTGATCATTAGAAAACCGTTTTGCAATTATGTTAGCACAGCTGAAAACTGTTTTGCTGACTAAAGAAGCAATAAAACTGGCCTTCTTGAGACTAGTTGAGTAGTTCTTGAGACAGGTCCTCAACTGGCAGCTTCATTAAATAGTACCCGCAAAACACCAGTCTCAACGTCAACAGTGAAGAGGCATCTCCGGGATGCTCTGGGATACTATTTAATGAAGCTGCCAGTTGAGGACCTGTGAGGCGCCTGTTTCTCAAACTAGACACTCTAATGTATTTGTCCTCTTGCTCAGTTGTGCACCGGGGCCTCCCGCTCCTCTTTCTATTCTGGTTAGAGCCAGTTTGCGCTGTTCTGTGAAGGGAGTAGTACACAGCGTGGTATGAGATCTTCAGTTTCTTGGCAATTTCACACATGGAATACCCTTAATTTCTCAGAAGAAGAATAGACTGACGAGTTTCAGAAGAAAGTTCTTTGTTTCTGGCCTATGTACGCCTATGTAGATATTCCATCACAATGTGATTTTATGGATTTTTTTTCTCATTTTGTCTGTCATAGTTGACGTGTACCTATGATGAAAATTACAGGCCTCTCTCATCTTTTTAAGTGGGAGAACTTGCACAATTGGTGGCTGACTAAATACTTTTTTCCCCACTGTATAATTCACTGTATCACAATTCCAGTGGGTCAGAAGTTTACATACATTAAGTTGACTGTGCCTTTAAATTCCAGAAAATGATGTCATGGCTTTAGAAGTTTCTGATAGGCTAATTGACATAATTTGAGTCAATTGGAGATGTACCTGTGGATATATTTCAAGGCCTACCTTCAAACTCAGTGCCTCTTTGCTTGACATCATGGGAAAATCAAATTAAAATCGGCCAAGACCTCCGAAAAAATATTGTAGACCTCCACAAGTCTGGTTCATCCTTGGGAGCAATTTCCAAACCACGTTACCACGTTCATCTGTACAAACAATAGTACGCAAGTATAAACACCATGGGACCACGCAGCCGTCATACCGCTCAGGAAGGAGACGCGTTCTGTCTCCTAGAGATGAATGTACTTTGGTGCGAAAAGTGCAAATCAATCCCAGAACAACAGCAAAGGACCTTGTGAAGATGCTGGAGGAAACAGGTACAAAAGTATATATACACAGTAAAACGAGTACTATATTGACATAACCTGAAAGGCTGCTCAGCAAGGAAGAAGCCGCCATAAAAACCGCCATAAAAAAGCCAGACTACGGTTTGCAATTGCACATGGGGACAAAGATCTTACTTTTTGGAGAAATGTCCTCTGGTCTGATGAAACAAAAAATAGAACTGTTTGGCCATAATGACCATCGTTATGTTTGGAGGAAAAAGGGGTAGGCTTGCAAGCCGAAGAACACCATCCCAACCGTGAAGCACGGGGGTGACAGCATCATGCTGTGGGGGTGCTTTGCTGCAGGAGGGACTGGTGCACTTCACAAAATAGATGGCATCATGAGGAAGGAAAATTATGTTGATTATATTAAAGCAACATCTCAAGACATCAGTCAGGAAGTTAAAGCTTGGTCGCAAATGGGTCTTCCAAATGGACAATGACCCCAAGCATACTTCCAAAGTTGTGGGAAAATGGCTTAAGGACAACAAAGTCAAGGTATTTGAGTGGTCATCACAAAGCCCTGACCTCAATCCTATAGAAAAGTTGTGGGCAGAACTGAAAAAGCGTGTGCGAGTAAGGAGGCCTACAAACCTGACTCAGTTACACCAGCTCTGTCAGGAGGAATGGGCCAAAATTCACCCAACTTATTGTGGGAAGCTTGTGGAAGGCTACCCGAAATGTTCGACCCAAGTTAAACAATTTAAAGGCAATGCTACCAAATACTAATTGAGTGTATGTAAACTTCTGACCCACTGGGGATGTGATGAAAGAAATAAAAGCTGAAATAAATAATTCTCTCTACTATTATTCTGACATTTCACATTCTTAGAATAAAGCGGTGATCCTAACTGACCTAAGACAGGGAATTTTTACTAGGATTAAATGTCAGGAATTGTGAAAAGCTGAGTTTAAATGTAAACTTCCGACTTCAACTGTATGTACAGTGTGTCAAGTGTATTGATTGTAACTATGTTCCCTCTCTGTCCTAATCAGGGGGAGTGTGCAAACTTTGTCCGTCTAATCGAACCCTGGAATCGCACACACCTGTACACCTGTGGCACAGGGGCCTATAAGCCTATCTGCACCTTCATCAACAGAGGATGGAGAGCAGAGGTACGGGGACACACAAACATGCACACGCACACACGCAGACAGACGCACACACAAACATGCCAGATCTGGTTTCAAATGCATGTGTATTTGAGTATTTGTTATTTAAGATAATTTGTGTGTGTATTTGAGTATTTTTTAATACACAACATAAAACAATTACTTTTATTTGAGTATTTGAATGGTTATTTGTAAAAACCAAATAGTCTACCAAATACTATTTGGAAGTATTTTCAAATACTTTCCTGGAATACTATTTGAAACACTTATCAAATATATTTTCCCAAAACATATTTCCAATACCCTCAAATACTCTACTCTAAAAGTTGGGCAAAAAGGCAGGACACTTCCTACAAGATTGGACTCTTTACAGTGTTATGCTGGCATGTAAACAGTTCAAAGGCTGTCATACTGGACAATGGATTGCCAGCACATATGAGGAACTCTTGGATCACTATAAGATCTCAACCAAAATCAACACCGTGGTCACCGCTAACGGCAATAATATGGTTGTTGCCTCTGCTAATTTTGAAGACGACATCCTCAGAAGAAGAAGATGCTTTTCTGACACACTATAGCTCACCATTAAAGATGGCTTTAAATCTGCAGATAACCACAACAGACCCATGTCCCAAGCCTCCAACATTGTACCCCACTACCACAAATCAACATTTGCACAGGATCTCCTTGAATGGGAGAATCTTCTGCAACCAGCCACAAGGTGGAACTCTCAACTGAAAATGATTTGCTCAGTTCTCAATGCGGATGAAGAAAAGCTTTACACACTGCCTGTCACCAAGCTATCCATGCACGAGAAGTATGTCCTCGCTGATGCTGCGGACGTCCTAACCCCCTTTGAGGATCCGACATTGTCACAGCCAGCTACATCATTCCATGCATCAGAGGACTGACTAAACATCTCACCACATGCTCTACAAGGTACAATGGAAAGCTTGTCAAAAACCTGAAACAAGCCATTCACAAGCTCCTGACTGTTTATGAGCAGAAGAAGCCATACCAGATTGCCTCAGTCTTGGATCCACACTTTAAACTGGCATGGTGCAATGCCACTGAGAAGGCTGCCCTTACTGCAGACATCAATGATCTTGCCACAAAGTTCACCAGCACAACACAGGATGTCCCTCACAGTGAGCCACCACCACCAGCGAAAAAAATCGATTGGACACACTGTGGTTTTATGGAACAACCAAGCGCATCTGCATATACTCCAAACACCAAAGAAATTGAGGAGTACCTAATCATCCCATGTCTAGGGCTGTCATGAAATGTTGTCAGCTGGTAACTGTCATGCAAATAACTGCCGGTCTCACAGTAATTGACTTAATTAACATAAGCATGTTTAGCATCTCCTGGCTTCCACGCATAGCCTACAAGCCACTGATGCAGACCTTTGGAACATCTACATTTTAAAAAGGATAAATATCTCATATTTATTTTCGGCAGGTCTAAAGCAACATGATATTAAGAAGAACAGAATAAAATACTCTGAGTTGTCCTTATGTTAGGCCCTGATCTGGCTATGCCATATGGCTGTTGGCTACACTAGTTCATTTAGCAGACAATATTTGCTTATAGTTCCCATGGCATTATGTTATATTGTTTTATAGTAAGAAGAACTCCGACCTTGCGGGGGTCCAGAGAAACTGTGTTACGCCAGTGAATAATGTGCTTAATTTTAAGAATTGAGCAATAAATATAGCAGCACAAAAAAACTGGGATCCTCTTTTAAATAGTGGCCATTCAAAACTCTGTTTTCACACCTGATTGTGCAATGACTGGGCTTATAATAACAAGTTTCATTAGGCTCTGTAGGCTATGTGCTCGCCAACCTTGTTCCAGGGGTTGTAGGCCTATAGGCTACACTTAGTGTTATTTGGCCACTTTAGTTGTGATACAACCCTTATCAAAACATATAGGCATATTGGGTAGGCTACATAATGCATGTGACTATGGTTTGAAAAAGTCCCCAACAAATGCATGCACTGTTTCTTGCCTTAGAGAGCATACGGTGGGCATCATTCACAAGTGATAATATGGGCCATTATCATGCACCTGTCGGAACAGGGGCAAGGGAATAAAATACATGTCATTGAATAGCGAATGCAGGACGCTTTTCCCGCGGTTCATTTACATGCCAGCCAGGTAGGCTACTCCGGTTGTAAAGAGAAGCAATGTGCTTAATATTGGGTCTAGCCTATAGAAAGCTGATGTGATCCTGCTCTTTTTAAGAGGCCATCAAAACTCTGTTTTCTTGCATAGCATAGCCTATAGAAATGTTGCGCAACATGGGCTTATAGGAACACTTATTTCATTCCATGCATCAACCAGCTATGAGGAGCTGGCTCTCACTGTACAACTCTGAATGCCAGGGCTCTCGTGAAGTGATTGATTTGATTTTCTACACATTTGCATTGATGTCAGAGTGATTAGAGGGACAATAGAGCGCTGAGTACCAAGACATTAGCGACTGTCCGTTTGAAAGTTTGGTAGGCCACTAATGACCATACGTGGCATCAGAGCGCAGTTTTGGAGAAGCCTAGTTACCGTGACTCAACGGTCATGTGGAATTCGACTGAGGTCATGACTCGTGACTGCCGGTGTGGCGGTTAAACGGTCACCGTAACAGCCCTACCCATGTCTTCCACCAACTACTGATCCTCTGAAATACACAGTCACACATACCCAACACTGAGGAGAGTTGCTGCTGAGTACCTACATGTCCCAGCATCCTCCGCAGCTGTGGAGCAGCTTTTCAGCATTGGAGGGCGCATCTTCAGATCATATCGCTGCTCAATGTCCGATAAGCTTTTGAAACCCTGATGTTTTTTTTTATGTAACATGGCAACTTGTCCTCTTTCATGAGACACCAATGTAAAGTATGGGTTGCATATTGTGATGAAAAAGTTAAATAGGAACTATACATGTTAAGTGTTATTTGAAATTAAACTGCTATGTACAGTCACAACTATTTTCAAATAATTCAAATATTAATTTTTTGTCTTCCAAATACTTCCAACGATATGCATTTGTAAGTAATTGTAAATACATTTACATTTACATTTTAGTCATTTAGCAGACGCTCTTATCCAGAGCGACTTACAGGAGCAATTAGGGTTAAGTGCCTTGCTCAAGGGCACATTAACGTCATTTAGCAGACGCTCTTAGCCAGAGCGACTCACAAATTGGTGCGTTTACCCTATAGCCAGTGGGATAACGACTTTACAATTTGGGGGGGGGGGGGGGGGGGGGGTTAGAAGGATTACTTTATCCTATCCCAGGTATTCCTTAAAGAGGTGGGGTTTCAAATGTCTCCGGAAGGTGGTGAGTGACTCCGCTGTCCTGGCGTCGTAAATAAATGCCAATACTTTCCAAATTGTATTTTCAAATACATTCCTATATTCAACTACTTGTTTTTTCAAATAAAGGTTATCTAAATACGTGTTTTGAAATGTATTGAAAAGTAATTGAAATACCTAAAATAGTATTTGAACCCAGGTCTGAAACATACCTACGTCCATGTATTGTCCTCTCTGTGCAGGAGTACCTGTTCAGGCTGGTCCCTGGCTATGTGGACTCAGGGAAAGGGAAATGTTCCTATGACCCGCGGCAGGAGAACGCTGTGGCCCTTATCAGTGAGACCTCTTCTTATCTGTTCATCATAACAGTTCCCACCACAGTTCTCACTTACAGTACCAATAGCCATCATCATATTCCATCTTCCTCTTTTGTTCCCCATTTGCTAGATGGGAATCTGTATGCAGGGGTCCACGTTGACTTCATGGGCACGGACCCGGCAATCTTCAGAACCCTGGGGGACAGACCTGCTGTCAGGACTGAGCAATATGACTCCCGCTGGTTGAATGGTAAGCTTGCCCCTGACTCACAGGTGACACTTTGAACAACCCATGACTACATTTCCCTGAGGAAAAAGTCAGCCATCTCTCTCTCTCGTCTGAGGAGATGACGTAAATGCCTGTGCCTACGCACACAATGTAAACTAGATGGATGGGGAAGAAATGTGGGATGTAACTCACTAAAATAATGGGACACAACAACCAGATCTCAATGTTAGCCCTCTGGGGTAATTTAGTAATGTACTGAACAACTCATAAAGAAACAGCAATAAAACAAAGACCAATCAAACAAACCAGGGAAGGTAAGAGAAGGGAATGTTCGGGAACGGGGTCCAAGTAATGAAGATAAACAAAAGGTCCCTCCTCTTCTACACACCTAATCCTTCCTAACACAAGCCTTAACTCGCTTTCCTACCTGTTACCACAAATACAGGGGTGACACCCGCTGGCTAACCTAGCCACGCCCACCATCGTCAGCCGCAACTCAGCACACCTGTAATAACCAAAACACACAAACAGAACAACCACTCTGAACCACACACACACTACAAAGGACGATTGGGAGAAAGAAAAACATGTCACACGTAACACTCGCTCTTTAATTTGTCACATGCACAAATACAGTGAAATGCTTAGCTTGCAAGCCCTTCCCAACAGTGCAGTATTCAACATCTAAATAGTATTTTTTTTGTATCATTATATATAAAAGTTTGGACACACCTACTCATTCAAGGGTTTTTCTTTATTTTTACTATTTTTTACATTGTAGAATAATAGTGAAGACATCAAAACTATGAAATAACACATATGGAATCATGTTGTAAACAAAAAAGTGTTTAAAAAAATCAAAGTATATTTTATATTTGAGAATCTTCAAAGTTGCCACCCTTTGCCTTGATGACAGCTTTGCACACTCTTGGCATTCTCTCAACCAGCTTCATAAAGTAGTCACCTGGAATGCATTTCAATTAACAGGTGTGCCTTCTTAAAAGTTAATTTGTGGAATTTCTTTCCTTCTTAATGCGTTTGAGCCAATCAGTTGTGTTGTGACAATGTAGGGGGGGGGTATATAGAAGATAGCCCTATTTGGTAGGTATAACAGCTCAAATAAGCAAAGAGAAACGACAGTCCATCATTACTTTAAGAAATGGAGATCAGTCAATACGGAACATTTCACGAACTTTGAACGTTTCTTCAAGTGCAGTCGCAAAAACCATCAAGCGCTATGAAACTGGCTCTCATGAGGACCGCCACAGGAATGGAAGACCCAGAGTTACTTCTGCTGCAGAGGATAAGTTCATCAAAGTTACCAGCCTCAGAAATTGCAGCCCAAATAAATGCTTCACAGAGTTCAAGTCACATCTCAACATCAACTGTTCAGAGGGGACTGTGTGAATCAGGCCTTCATGGTCGAATTGCTGCAAAGAAACCACTACTAAAGGACACCAATAATAAGAAGAGATCTGCTGGGGCCAAGAAATACGAGCAATGGACATTAGACCGGTGGAAACTTGTCCTTTGGTCTGGAGTCCCAATTGGAGATTTTTGGTTCCAACCGCCATGTCTTTGTGAGACGCGGTGTGGGTGAACAGACGATCTCCTCATGTGTAGTTCCCACCGTAAAGCATGGAGGAAGAGGTGTTTGGTGTGGGGGTGCTTTGCTGGTGACACTGTCTGTGATTTATTTAGAATTCAAGGCACACTTAACCAGCATTTCTACCACAGCATTCTGCAGCGATACGCCATCCCATCTGGTTTGGGCTTAGTGGAACTATCATTTGTTTTTCAACAGGACAATGACCCAACACACCTCCAGGCTGTATAAGGGCTATTTTACCAAGAAGGAGAGTGATGGAGTGCTGCATCAGATGACCTGGCCTCCACAATCCCCTGACCTCAACCCAATTGAGATGGTTTGGGATGAGTCGGACGGCAGAGTGAAGGAAAAGCAGCCAACAAGTGCTCAGCAAATGTGGGAACTCCTTCAAGACTGTTGGAAAAGCATTCCAGGTGAAGTTGAGAGAATGCCAAGAGTGTGCAAAGCTGTCATCAAGGCAAAGGGTGGCTACTTTGAAGATTCTCAAATATAAAATATACTTTGATTTTTTTTACACTTTTTTGTTTACAACATGATTCCATATGTGTTATTTCATAGTTTTGATGTCTTCACTGTTGTTCTACAATGTTAAAAATTAAGAAAAACCCTTGAATGAGTAGGTGTGTCCAAACTTTTGACTGGTACTGTATATATATATATATAAGTGCCAGTACCAAATTACAATTTGCAGGGATACTGGAGTAGTTGAGGTAGATACTGTATGTACATGTAGGCAGGGATTAGGAGAAATTGACTGGTAGCAGGATAAATAATAATAATCTCTCCCTCTCTCTCTCTCTCTCTGTCACTCTCTCTCTGTCTGTCTGTCACTCTCTTTCACTCTTTCTCTATTACCCTCCTTTCTCAAATTGACTAATCTGTCTGTCTCCATCTCCAGAGCCTGTGTTTGTGAAGATCCAGCAGATTCCTGACAGCTCTGAGAGAAACGATGATAAGCTCTACTTCTTCTTCCGGGAGAAGAGCCTGGACGCAGCCGGGGGTGGCAGCCCCAGTGTCCTGGCCAGGGTGGGCCGAGTATGCCTGGTGAGAGAGCCTCGTATATCCCCCCTGACCCCACAAACACACACACACACACACACACACACCACAGGAGGCTGCTGAGGGGAGGATGGCTCATAATATTGTCTGGAACGGAGTAAATAGAATGGCGTCAAAAACCTGGAAATCATGTATTTGATGTGTTGGATACCATTCAATTTATTCTGTTCCAGCTGTTACTATGAGCCCATCCTCCCCAATTAAGGTGCCACCGGCCGCCTGTGACTCACACATACTGTATCCACACACTGGGATTGATTGGTTCAGATGGCACAGTTAGTCGGAGCATGGCACTTGCAACACCAAGTTTATATTAGAGTTAGGGTAGTTTCGCACAACCATTGGACACTAGAAAGCCAAGTGGTTGTGGTGATGATATTGAGTGATTTACCCTTTTGTGTAAATTCACCCTAACTTTGTTTAACCTTCCCAGAATGATGATGGGGGTCAGAGGTCACTGGTCAACAAGTGGACGACCTTCCTGAAGGCTCGGCTGGTGTGCTCAGTGATAGGCAGCGATGGTGTGGAGACCTATTTCGATGAGCTGAGTGAGACTGCTTTTCATTCCTGCTGAATGGACATACTGTACAGCAGGCTGCAATTCAATCAGTTGCAGATAAAGGAAAACCACAATGCAGCTTTGCTCAGAATGTTTACGCTTTGATTGAATTGGGGGCTTAGTCTTGTTTTGACACTTGTTTATAGAAAAGGCACTGTTAACACCTTTGTCAACTTCCTTCCCTTCAGAGGATGTCTTCATTCAGCCAACACAAGACGAACGCAATCCTGTCGTGTACGCGGTATTTTCTACTGCGGGGTAATATATCACTTCAATCATTCCAAAATTATTTTATTTTACACAACCATACATTCTATGTCCTTTGTTAGTGTTGTGCTAAAAAGAAATCCTGCCCACCCAGTAGTTCTCCACAAATGAAGTTATAGAACCTTGGGGTAGTTCAGTAGCGGTGTGTTGATAAAATCACTGGGGAAGCCAAGCCAGGGAAAAAAAGCCATATTACAACCTATGTGTTGTGATAATTGCGTTGTTTGCTCTATAACCTGTTAGTTCATATGCTTTAATACATTCAACCACACCTTTGTTTTATCACAAAACCGGAGAGCAACATCTGTCCTGTGAAGTCCACAAAGCAAATTGCATGTAACAAACAGTTACGTGACCTACAGCATGGTCAAGCAAGGTAATGTTTCTGACATTTTCAGACCACTAAACAACTATTGATTTAGAACCATGGAGAGTTACCGCAAGTCCCAAAGAAAACAGGAGCTGCCTCCACTATTCCAGCACCATTTCAACTTCAACATTTCAACATCAGCAAATCACCTATGCTTAGTCCAGTACATTTACAACTAAAAGATACCAAAAACAATTTAGTCCAATCAACGTAAGCCAAATATGATGTGGCTGTCCATGGTACTGATTTGTTTGTTTGTGTGTGTGTGCAGGAAAAACTTGACTCACCCTACTTGTAGAGAAACGCCAATGCCATCCTCCTCTCTTTCATGTTGCCGAAACGGTCTATGACTCTGTCATACAGTCCACATTTTTAGTTTTTGTTGTCCTAGGCTACCTGGCTAAAATGCTTGCTCACTAGCGTAACTTCCTTTCATGGGCAACGATGAGCCAGCTAGTTAACATGAGCCTACTAGCCTACATCTAGCTACATATTGAACTTCCATCCTCTCAGGCCAGGGGCACAATGTATGAGTTTATGGTTGAATCAGAATCACTGTTATAATCATTGGCTTGTACAGAGTAAATAAAACCACAAGTCCAAATCCTTATCTCCATCCATGGCTAATTTAGAAAAGGGCCAATTTTAGCTAGCTAGCTAGCCACCGGAGGACAACGACACAACGAGATGCAGCAATTCATATCATTCTGTCAATGATGTTTGGCTTTTGATGTGATGTGATTGGTGTGAAGCCAAATCCAAACTGGCTTCCATTGACACTTTTTTTTGGTTCGCCAGGACCATTCACAGTTGAGCTCACTCAGTTTAGCTCAACGCTTATTGGCTATTATTGTATTTATTTTTTATCAAGGGAGGCCAAATGCTCGCTGGCTTCTCTTGCATTCAATGCTACAGACGGCAACAATGTCATATTATTTTTGACCAGACATCATCAGATAGATGGGCTACACATACAGAGACAGAGGGGCGCTGTTTCGCTCGCTTGGATGCTTTCTCCGGTGAGATACATTCAGCCTCTTGCGAATTGAATTATGAAACACAGAGAGATGAAAGATACATTATTTAATATGTTTTTTTCTTGGTACATTTTTGGGGACGCCTTTCTTCCCTTGGTATCCATGAATATACACCACTGGGGTAGTTTATTTTGATGTCTCTCTTCCACCATCTTTCCACCTCTTTCCTTAGGTCTGTGTTTAAGGGCTCAGCCGTGTGTGTGTACTCTATGTCCGACATCCGCAATGTCTTCAATGGCCCCTTCTCACACAAGCATGGACACAACTACCAGTGGACCCCCTACACTGGGAAGATCCCCTACCCTCGCCCTGGAACAGTACGTACACTCAGGACCAAATGCCTCCAGGAAATACAGCATATCTCTATTGGAATGTAACAACATGATATGAGATAACAGATTAGAATGTCTAAAATTAATGGTAGATAATTTGACTAGTAGACAGTAGCCTAATAAACATACAAATGATGGATAGCTTTGAAGTTGTTATTGATCATAGACTCAAATCTAGATCAACAAATAATCAAAAGAAACAATGTGTCAAACTGTCAGTGTCTTGGTGTGGTCATAATCACATCATTCCCATGATCCAACACACAAGAACATGGAAATGAAAACATGCAGTTCTGATTTGCCAAGTCCAGATAGTTCTTCCCTGTTTCAGAAGGTTTTCTTATTTTTGGTGCCACTGAACATGACCCAGTTCAACCAGAGCTCTCTGTCCTCTTCGTCTACAGTGTCCAGGAGGAACGTTCACCCCGGGCCTCCGCTCCACCAAGGAGTTTTCTGATGAGGCAGTGAACTTTGTGAGGGCGCACCCCCTCATGTACCACCCTGTCTACCCCATACACAAGCGCCCCCTGGTGGTCCGAACAGGGGTGGACTACCGATTCACCTCCATCGTGGTGGACCTGGTGGATGCTGTGGACGGGAGGTATGAGGTGCTCTTCCTGGGCACAGGTGAGTCATGCTAGCTAGGTTCTTCCTCCTTTTTACTGAGGGGGAACATCAGGGGCTGTATGTATCAAGCATCTCAGAGTATGAGTGCAAATTTAGGGTCAGTTTGCATCTCAGAGTAGAAGTGCTGATTTAGGATCAGTTTTGCCTTTTAGATCACAATTAATAAGATTACATGGACAGTGGGGCTCTGATCCTAGATCAGCATTTCTACTCTGAGATGCTTGATACATATGGCCCCAGATTCGGTCAAATCCTAAATTGACATTTACATTTTAGTCATTTAGCAGACACTTATCCAGAGCGACTTACAGGAGCAATTAGGGTTAAGTGCCTTGCTCAAGGGCACATCGACAAATTTTTCACCTAGTCGGCTCGGGGATTAGAACCAGCGACCTTTCGGTTACTGGCACAACGCTCTTAACCACTAAGCTACCTGCCGCCCCAAATTGAGATACAGTGGGGGGAAAAAAGTATTTAGTCAGCCACCAATTGTGCAAGTTCTCCCACTTAAAAAGATGAGAGAGGCCTGTAATTTTCATCATAGGTACATACGTCAACTATGACAGACAAAATGAGAAAAAAAAATCCAGAAAATCACATTGTTGGATTTTTAATGAATTGATTTGCAAATTATGGTGGAAAATAAGTATTTGGTCAATAACAAAAGTTTCTCAATACTTTGTTATATACCCTTTGTTGGCAATGACACAGGTCAAACGTTTTCTGTAAGTCTTCACAAGGTTTTCACACACTGTTGCTGGTATTTTGGCCCATTCCTCCATGCAGATCTCCTCTAGAGCAGTGATGTTATGGGGCTGTCGCTGGGCAAAACGGACTTTCAACTCCCTCCAAAGATTTTCTATGGGGTTGAGATCTGGAGACTGGCTAGGCCACTCCAGGACCTTGAAATGCTTCTTACGAAGCCACTCCTTCGTTGCCCGGGCGGTGTGTTTGGGATCATTGTCATGCTGAAAGACCCAGCCACGTTTCATCTTCAATGCCCTTGCTGATGGAAGGAGGTTTTCACTCAAAATCTCACGATACATGGCCCCATTCATTCTTTCCTTTACACGGATCAGTCGTCCTGGTCCCTTTGCAGAAAAACAGCCCCAAAGCATGATGTTCCCACCCCCATGCTTCACAGTAGGTATGGTGTTCTTTGGATGCAACTCAGCATTCTTTGTCCTCCAAACACGACGAGTTGAGTTTTTACCAAAAAGTTCTATTTTGGTTTCATCTGACCATATGACATTCTTCCAATCCTCTTCTGGATCATCCAAATGCACTCTAGCAAACTTCAGACGGGCCTGGACATGTACTGGCTTAAGCAGGGGGACACGTCTGGCACTGCAGGATTTGAGTCCCTGGCGGCGGCATAGTGTGTTACTGATGGTAGGCTTTGTTACTTTGGTCCCAGCTCTCTGCAGGTCATTCACTAGGTCCCCCCGTGTGGTTCTGGGATTTTTGCTCACCGTTCTTGTGATCATGGTCTTGTATGTCTTCCATTTCCTAATAATTGCTCCCACAGTTGATTTCTTCAAACCAAGCTGCTTACCTATTGCAGATTCAGTCTTCCCAGCCTGGTGCAGGTCTACAATTTTGTTTCTGGTGTCCTTTGACAGCTCTTTGGTCTTGGCCATAGTGGAGTTTGGAGTGTGACTGTTTGAGGTTGTGGACAGGTGTCTTTTATACTGATAACAAGTTCAAACAGGTGCCATTAATACAGGTAACAAGTGGAGGACAGAGGAGCCTCTTAAAGAAGAAGTTACAGGTCTGTGAGAGCCAGAAAAATTGCTTGTTTGTAGGTGACCAAATACTTATTTTCCACCATAATTTGCAAATCAATTCATTAAAAATCCTACAATGTGATTTTCTGGATTTTTTTTCTAATTTTGTCTGTCATAGTTGATGTGTACCTTTGATGAAAATTACAGGCCTCTCTCATCTTTTTAAGTGGGAGAACTTGCACAATTGGTGGCTGACTAAATACTTATTTTCCCCACTGTATGTGTACAGCTGGAACTGGGTAAATAACGCCTTGATCATAGAAATAATTGGATCATGCTCACGTACCTCAAGTTAGGAGTTAGCTCTCAGTGAATCATTTCCTTTCAACTCTGTATTAGGGGTGTGATATTTAAACGTTTAAACAAATTTGGGATCGCTAACCTTTAGAAAATATCCCTAACAGCAAATTTTGTAAAAAACATTGCACAAAATAAAAATCACAGTGTACTATCACAAAGCTACCATTAACATTAACAGGTCCCGGTCATCATCATAAAGGCAAATATATATATATATATATATATATTTTTACAAATACGTAACGCAACAATGCTGTAAGTAGGAGAAGATATGCGTCTTTCAAATGATTTGCCACGGATATAAAGCGCTCCGCACATCATCGTCGTTAACAATTGGGTAATACCCAGGCGAAGGAGATGTGACTGTATGGAAGGGAGTTTAGTCCAACGGTAGTTATTCCTGTAAATCCACCATGGCTACTCCCGCCTCCAGTAGTTGATCTCGAAGTGTTGGAGAGACTACAGAAAGATAGGGAGGGGGTTGATCCAGCTGATTTCTTTAAGAGACGTCTGGAAACTGTGTATCAGGATTTTGTGGCCATTTACACAGATGGTTCAAAAGATCCAAGGACAGGACGTACTGGGTCAGCATTTGTAGTGCAGGAGTGTGTGGAAGTCAGGAAACTTATTACAGATCATCTGGCTGTATATACGGCGGAGCTGATGGCCATACTGTTGATCTTGCAGTGTGTGGAGGAAGTTAAGCCAGACAGAATAGTTATTTGCTCTGATTCATGTGCAGTGTTAATGAGTCTCCAGTCCTTTAGCTCACGTCGCAGACAAAACCTGCTTTATGAGGTGCTACAAACCCATGGCAGGATTAAACAGATGGGAATTCAGATAAGATTTACTTGGGTTCCAGCCCATGTGGGGGTGGAGGGGAATGAGGCAGTAGATGAACAGGCTAAACAAGCACTTAGTAGTGGGGATGTTGATGTTGAAGTGTCAATGAGCAAGGCAGAGGCAAAAAGACTGATATATACAGTGATGGTGCAGAGATGGCAGGAGCAGTGGAATAGAGATAATAAGGGAAAGCATTTATTTCAGGTACAGAGGAAAGTCGGCGAGGGGAGGACGGCAGGAAGGGACAGAAGAGAGGAGGTTATTTTTACAAGATTAAGGGTGGGACACAGCCAGTTGAATAAGACATTAAACGTGATAGGAAAGCATCCATCAGGAAAGTGTGATTATTGTCAGGAAATAGAGACTGTGGAGCATGTATTTCTACAGCGTGGGCAGTATCAGAGGGAAAGAGAGAGGATGAGATTTAGTATGAGGGAGAGGGTGATACAGCAAATTAGTTTAAAGAGTATATTGAGCAGAACGTCATTAGATATAGTCTCAAATATTTTGTTATCTTTTTTAAGAGAAACGGGGTTGGCAGGTAGGATTTAGTTTCTCCCTGTCTCTGGCCCACATTCCAGTAAGGTAGGTGGCGGTAATGCACCATAATGTTGGATGCCAACCGCCGATAAACCACACAGAAGAAGAAGAAGAAGAAGAAGAAGAAGAAGAAGTCGTTAACAATTGGAAAGATGGTCAGAGACTGAGACAAGGAAGCGACAGCGGTCCTGAATGGCAATACTTTGAGAAATTAGAGGAGAAGGTGATGAAATCAAACTCTGCGAGGTGGAATTGAGCTACAGTGGCAGTACAGGTACAATGCTGAAAGAGAGTGCGATAATGGACGGAGTGAGAAAATCACATAGCTGATTACAGAAATGATTGCAGTTTATATGCAGCCATTGTCAATGGTAGAGGATGTCGGCTTCAATACCCTAATGGCATATCTAGAACCAGACTACAAGATGCCATGTCCAAGAACCGTGACGGAACCTGATGGAGAAATTGCCATGTCCAAGAACCGTGACGGAACCTGATGGAGAAATTGTACAATGATTGCTCTGCAAGTACAAAGCGCGAGCTCTCAAACACCATACCTGGCGTTAACAACAGATTGTGAACAGATCTATGAACACGCTGTCAAACATCACTGCAACGAGCCATCACATTGATGAGAAGTGGGACATGAAGTACGTACTGACAACAGAGAACATGGAGGAGGGCACACAACAGAGAACCTAAAATGGCATTAATACCATCGTTGCTGAGTGGGTGGGGGATGGCAGTAAGGTGAACGCCGTCTGGTAGGGTTTCCAGTAGTAACCACAGCCACAAAGACAAAATTGACAACCATAAAAATTCATGAAAACAAAAGATATTTTTGGTCTTAATTTAAAGTTAGGTTTAGGCATAAGGTTAGCAGTGTGGTTAAGGTTGGGGTTAAAATCACATTTGTAGAAATAGGCGGATTTAATGACTTTGTGGCTGTGAAAACTAGTGACGACCGGTATGTAGCCAGGACTGCGGTAGATTGAACTGCATTGTCCCCTAGTGGTCATACACAGAACCATATCTAGATTATGAATTCATGCCATTTTTTTTTCGTTTTTTTTTTTCTCACATTTGTCACATACCTACTCTGTATATTTTTCTAGGATATTTAAGCTATCTGTGGTACTATGTACACTATAAACCGCTCTCCCGTCTTTTTGTAGATCGTGGGACAGTCCAAAAGGTGATAGTACTTCCTAAAGACACTAGCACAACGGAAGAACTCACATTAGAGGAAGTGGAGGTGTTCAGGGTAATGACAATCACTACTATTTCATGTAAATCACTGTCTAGTATGAATGAATACATGAAGGGAGATGGGACAATCCAAAAGGTTCATTCTGCAGTATTATCTTTTTCTGACCCCTATCTTCGCTTTTTTTTTTTGCAGACTCCAGCTCCTATTAAGACCATGAAGTTATCATCAAAAAGGGTAGGCTTCATCAATTATAATTTGTTCATCTATGATTACTCCTGTTGTGTTGTTGCTGTTGTTGGTATGCCCCTGATAGTCATTCCTCTCCCCTTCTGACCCACAGCAACAGCTGTATGTGTCGTCAGAGAGGGGGCTTACCCAGTTGTCCCTGCACAGGTGTGGCGTCTATGGGAAGGCCTGTTCAGACTGCTGCCTGGCCAGAGACCCTTACTGTGCCTGGGACGGGGAGACCTGCGCCGGCTTTAGCCCCTCCACCAAGAGGTGAGGCACCTTAGCACCAATGAGGGGGTTACATAATAGAGTGCCTTCAGAAAGTATTCATACCCCTTGACTTATTCAAAATGTTCTTGTGTTACAGCCTGAATTGAAAATTTATTAAATTTTATTTTTTCCCCTCACCATTCTACACACAATAATACCCCATAATGACAGTGAAAACATGTTTTTAGACATTTTTGCTAATTTATTAAAAATAAAATACAGAAATATCTCATTCATGTAAGTATTCACACCCCTGAGTCAATACTTTGTAGAAGCACCTTTGGCAGTGATTACAGCTTTGAGTCGTCAGTATCAGCTTTGCACATCTGGATTAAGGGATTTTCTCCCATTCGTCCTTGCAGTTTTTCTCAAGCTCTGTTAAGTTAGTTGGGGAGCAGCAGTGAACAGCAATCTTCAAGTCTTTCCACAGATTTTCAATGGGATTCAAGTCTGGGCTTTGGCTAGGCCACTCAAAGACTTTCACATTATTGTTCTGAAGCCATTTCAGCGTTGCTTTGGCTGTATGCTTGGGGTCATTATCCTGTTGGAACGTAAATTTTCGCCCCAGTCTAAGGTCGTTTGCACTCTGAAGCAGGTTCTCATCAAGGATTTGCCTGTATTTGGTTCCATTCATTGTTCCCTCTATCATTACCAGTCTCCCAGTCCCTGCCGCTGAAATGTATCCCCGTAGCATGATGCTGCCACCACCATGCTTCACGGTAGGGATGGTGTTAGACGGGTGGTGAGCTGTGCCTGGTTTTCTCCAGACATAGTGCTTTGCATTCAGGCCAAATAGTAAAATGTTTGTCTCATCAGACCACAGAATCTTTTGCCTTATGCTCTCAGTCTTTCACTTGCCTTTTTGCAAACTCCAGGCGTGCTGTCATGTTCCTTTTTCTCAGGAGTTACTTCCGACTGGCCGCTCTCCCATAAAGCCCAGATTGGTGAAGTGCTATAGAAACAGTTGTCCTTCTGGCAGGTTCTTCCATCTTAGCCAAGGAACTCTGTAGTTCTGTCAGAGTGGTCATTGGGTTCTTGGTCACCAGCCTGACCAAGGTCCTCCTTGCCCAGTTACTCAGTTTGGTCAGATGGCCAGCTCTAGGCAGAGTCTGGGTAGTTCCAATTTCCCGATGATGGAGACCACTGTGCTCTTTCAACACTCTAGAAATAGTTTTATACCCTTCCCCAGATATATGCCTCATCACAATTCTATCTCGGAGATCTACGGACAGTTCTTTGGACTTCATGGTATAGTTTCTGCTCTGACATGCACTGTCAGCTGTGGGACATTATATAGACAGGTGTGTTTCTTTCTAAATCCTGTCCACACAATTTAATTGACCACAGATGCACTCCAATCAAGCTGTAGTGACAGCTGAAGAATGATCAATATAGCTCAATTTTGAATGTCATAGCAAAGGGGTGTGAATACATGCAGTACCAGTCAAAAGTTTGGACACACCTACTCATTCAAGGGACATTCTTTATTTTGTAGAATTCTACATTGTAGAATAATAGTGAAGACATCAAAACTATGAAATAACACATATGGAATCATGTAGTAACCAAAAAAGTGTTAAACAAATCAAAATATATTTAATATTTTACATTCTTCAAAGTAGGCACCCTTTGCCTTGATGACAGCTTTGCACACTCTTGGCATTCTCTCAACCAGCTTCACCTGGAATGCTTTTCCAACAGTCTTGAAGGAGTTCCCACATATGCTGAGCACTTGTTGGCTGCTTTTCCTTCACTCTGCGGTCCAACTCATCCCAAACCATCTCAATTGGGTTGAGGTCAGGTGATTGTGAAGGCCAGGTCATTTGATGCAGCACTAAATCACTCTCCTTCTTGGAAAATAGTAAAAAGAAAGAAAAACCCTGGAATGAGTAGGTATTAATGTATTTCATTTTCAATACATTTCTAAAAACATGTTTTCACTTAGTGATTATGGGATATTGTGTGTAGATGGGTGAGAAAAAGAGATATTTAATCCATTTTGAATTCAGGCTGTAACACAACAGAATGTGGAAAAAGTCAAGGGGTATGAATACTTTCTGATGGCACTGTATTTCTTTATTAGTTTAGCTGAAATAATTCCATCCAAACTGCTTATCGGGTTTCAGGCATAAGTCAAAGTTGTGATAATGTGTAGAGTGTAATGCACTGTTCACAGGCGGAGCAGAAGACAGGATATTAAGCATGGAAACCCCTTGCGGCAGTGCAGAGGGTTCAATGCAAAAGGTATGTGATCACGGCCAAAGCACTGAACAGTATCTCCCTTACATCTTATATAGAGTGTGTATCTGAAAGCCTGTTCTGGCAAATAGATTTTTGTAAAAGGAGTATAATTTGTTTCTGCGTACTGCATACAATGGTCTCACAACACAATCTCACGAAGGAATTAACCACTGTTAATGGCCATAATCTATACTATTTCTCTGATTCTGTCCCCTTCAGTGGAGAAGCGTCTCAGTGAAACGGTGCAGTTTGGGGTGGAGGGGAGCAGCACGTTCCTGGAGTGCCAACCTAGATCTCCACAAGCAACAGTCAAATGGCTCTACCAAAAACCAGATGGCAGGAGGAAAGTGGTAAGACAAGGACTAACGGACCGTTTAGTTCAGATAGCTTTTGTATGATGGCTGTAGATAATGTCGTCTTCTCCTTTTCTCTCACGCTGATGTTCCTTCTCCCGTCTCTCCCCCAGCTGAGCCGAGACGGAGAAGTGCTGAAGACGGGTCACGGCATCCTCCTCAAGTCTCTGAGGCACGCCGACGGGGGTCTGTACCACTGCCTGGCCACTGAGAACAACTTCAAGCACACGGTGGCCCACGTGGCCCTCCGCATCCTGGACCGGGAGATAGTGGAGGCCCTCACCTCCCTGGACGGCCCCCCGGAGGACCAGAACCCCCGTCACCACCCGCACCCACCGCCTCCACCTCCCCCGCCTCACACTCTGCCCCCACAGTTCTCCTCCCAGCCGGAGATCCGCCTCATCAACCAGTACTGTCAGTCCTACTGGCAGCAGTTCAACCCCAACCTTCCCACAAAACGCACCAGCAGGAGGCACGTCGAGAGCCAGCCAGAGCCAGCCCTGGGGGGCCCTAGCCCATCCTAGACCCCTTCTCTCCCCCTCTCCTTCACTGGTGCCCGGGCCAGGTTCTGGAGGGTCACAGTGGCCCTCCACACTGGTAACGCGCATTGTCACTCACTCACTCACTCATGTTGTTGTGATGATGTTGTTGTTGTATGTGTTGTTCATCCCATTCCCATTTAGGGTTAGTCTCCATGGGCCCAATTCTGACTTTAGATCGGTGCACATAGCTCTGTGCTTTCTTGTAAATCATGTATTGATGTCAATGAGAGATTTGAGGTCAAATTGGAGTTACACGCACAGAGGGTTTGGTCCTAAAAATCATCATATTATTTAGCTAATTAACTGCCCTATTCAGTCCAAACTAGTAATCTGTTTAGTAACTAGTAACCTGAATATAATCCCTGATCATATAAGCCTGGGTATTATCAATTGGACTGCTACTTACAGTGGGGGAAAAAAGTATTTAGTCAGTCACCAATTGTGCAAGTTCTCCCACTTAAAAAGATGAGAGGCTTGTAATTTTCATCATAGGTACACGTCAACTATGACAGACAAAATTAGATTTTCTTTCTCCAGAAAATCACATTGTAGGATTTTTAATGAATTTATTTGCAAATTATGGTGGAAAATAAGTATTTGGTCAATAACAAAAGTTTCTCAATACTTTGTTATATACCCTTTGTTGGCAATGACACAGGTCAAACGTTTTCTGTAAGTCTTCACAAGGTTTTCACACACTGTTGCTGGTATTTTGGCCCATTCCTCCATGCAGATCTCCTCTAGAGCAGTGATGTTTTGGGGCTGTCGCTGGGCAACACGGACTTTCTACTCCCTCCAAAGATTGTCTATGGGGTTGAGATCTGGAGACTGGCTAGGCCACTCCAGGACCTTGAAATGCTTCTTACGAAGCCACTCCTTCGTTGCCCGGGCGGTGTGTTTGGGATCATTGTCATGCTGAAAGACCCAGCCACGTTTCATCTTCAATGCCCTTGCTGATGGAAGGAGGTTTTCACTCAAAATCTCACGATACATGGCCCCATTCATTCTTTCCTTTACACGGATCAGTCGTCCTGGTCCCTTTGCAGAAAAACAGCCCCAAAGCATGATGTTTCCACCCCCATGCTTCACAGTAGGTATGGTGTTCTTTGGATGCAACTCAGCATTCTTTGTCCTCCAAACACGACGAGTTGAATTTTTACCAAAAAGTTATATTTTGGTTTCATCTGACCATATGACATTCTCCCAATCCTCTTCTGGATCATCCAAATGCACTCTAGCAAACTTCAGACGGGCCTGGACATGTACTGGCTTAAGCAGGGGGACACGTCTGGCACTGCAGGATTTGAGTCCCTGGTGGCGTAGTGTGTTACTGATGGTAGGCTTTGTTACTTTGGTCCCAGCTCTCGGCAGGTCATTCACTAGGTCCCCCAGTGTGGTTCTGGGATTTTTGCTCACCGTTCTTGTGATCATTTTGACCCCACAGGGTGAGATCTTGCGTGGAGCCCCAGATCGAGGGAGATTATCAGTGGTCTTGTATGTCTTCCATTTCCTAATAATTGCTCCCACAGTTGATTTCTTCAAACCAAGCTGCTTACCTATTGCAGATTCAGTCTTCCCAGCCTGGTACAGGTCTACAATTTTGTTTCTGGTGTCCTTTGACAGCTCTTTGGTCTTGGCCATAGTGGAGTTTGGCGTGTGACTGTTTGAGGTTGTGGACAGGTGTCTTTTATACTGATAACAAGTTCAAACAGGTTCCATTAATACAGGTAACGAGTGGAGGACAGAGGAGCCTCTTAAAGAAGTTGTTACAGGTCTGTGAGAGCCAGAAATCTTGCTTGTTAGTAGGTGACCAAATACTTATTTTCCACCATAATTTGCAAATAAAGTCATTAAAAAATCCTACAATGTGATTTTCTGGAGAAAAAAAAATCTCAATTTGTCTGTCATAGTTGACGTGTACCTATGATGAAAATTACAGGCCTCTCTCATCTTTTTAAGTGGGAGAACTTGCACAATTGATGGCTGACTAAATACTTTTTTTTCCCCACTGTATGTTATAGTATGTCACATTGCATTGTCTCACTCCGTGTAAGCAGTTTAAGAAACTGCAGAGGATTTTGTTAGTGTACACAATAATTGTGTAGCCAGCACCATGGTAGTTAGGCGATAGGGAGACACTATCATATGAATCATTGTCAAATGTGTCATGTTGTATGCCTGCCTTAACCATACTTTTTACAATCCGTTTGTTCCCCTGAATCCAACACTTTCAATCAGTGTTTCAAACATTCATTTTAACTAATTGATGAAACGTGGGCAATTTTTATATTATTATGTGTATTGTGTTTCCATTCTAAATATTGTTACAGTAGAATCCTGCCAATGTCAAATCAGAAAGAATACGGCTCAGTTTTACATGTTTTTCGTCCGCAATTTCATTGTGATATAACAATGAGGTGATCAATTTTTGCCAATTTGCAATGTTTTGATTGTGTTTTTAAAATGACGTGTCACAGAAAATGTGGAAAATCAGACACTCCTGCTTAATTTGACCAAACGTATTTGTTAGCAGGAAGAAACTGACCAAATAAGTGTCTACTTTTTATTTGTTGGACTCCTTGGGTTTATGCATTTTTTTTCTTCTCCCATACAATATTTACTGGATACAAAACCATTAGCGTCAGCTAAAAAGCTAACCAAGTCTCCGACCTTGTGCTACTTTCTGCTCAGCACTTCAACAGTGTTAGGCAGAGACAATACTTTGGACCAAACACTGTTCCATTCTCCAGCCAAGACTATAGAGGGATTAAAACATTTACATGTAAATAGAGCAAGTTTGGTTTGGAATGAATCATTCAGAAAAAGAGATTCATTAGCGGTTGGTTATTGCAGTGAGAAAAGAAATGGAGACAGTACAGGAGTTTGCTATTGTGTTGCTTCAAAATGACAATACATATTACATCTTCTATGGGAGCTACATTACTTTTACACAGCCTGACACCTGAAATGAACCTGATCCAACAACAGAAACTGGACTGGAAGGCTCTTTGAAATTTGACTATGTGACATGGCCACACTGTATTTCTTGTCTAGAGATGAGATGATTATTATACTCACTAGCACTCACCTGGCTCTATCAACAATGTTGCTTAGAGCGCCTTTTGCCTGATTCATAAGCTGTGGTCATCTTTCAACCTTGTGTCATGTACTATGCGTGTACAGTGCATTCATATGGTATGACATGTAATGGACTTTTAGATCTCACAGAGATTTATGTTAGGTTTGGACTTTTCATGGATCCACGCTCTCCCTCTCACTCACACCATGAAACATATTTATTTTGAGACTGTAGATATTCCTGTTCTGCACTTTGGTGGTGGGGGTGATGGGCTGTGATGGGGAGAGGATATTATTATTATTATTATCATGTGATTGACAGGACCAGTATTAACAGAAAGAGGTTTTGAGGAAAAAGAGGTAGACCTTTTTGGAAACTAAAAGTAAAAAGATTTGAATTAATAAATTGTTATGGACAGGAACGTGCTAACAGATTACTCAACTCTGAAGCTAAAGAATACTCTATTTGAATGAAAATGTGTTCTATTTAACATATTTTGCACTATATTCACATTGTTTGTGGCTTCACGTGGCTTCTTTGCCTTTTCTTATCTATAGAGTTTGAATCCAGAAATGTCTACCTCTCTCGTTTCTGGAATATAATTTGTACCAAAACAAAAATCACTCAAACAAAACAATGTAACACTCGATACCATATTCCTTCTAGAGCAGGTTAAAATGTATATGTGAGCTGATTCACGAAGCTACAAGAGTGACATGAGTAAATCAAAATATAGCTGCAACCAGCCATGGTGGGGTTCAAGCTATGGCCCAACAGCGCCACTATGCGGACAAACAGAACCAGCTAGCTAGCTATAATTACATCCCTGAGCATATGTGCCAAATTCCATGACTCTGAGCCAAACAGATATACAGTTCCTTCAAAAAGTATTCATACCCCTGGCTTATTCCACATTTTGTTGTGTTACAGCCTGAATTCAAAATGTATTTTTTTTCTCACCCATCTACACACAATACCCCATAATGACAAGGTGAAAACATGTTTTTTGAAATGTTTGCAAATGTATTGAAAATGAAATACAGAAATATCTTATTTATATAAGTATTCACACCCCTGAGTCAATACATTGTGGAAGCACCTTTGGCAGTGATTACAGCTGTGAGTCTTTCTGGGTAAGTCTAAGAGCTTTTCACAACTGGATAGCGCAACATTTGCCCATTTATTATTTTCAAAATTCTTCAAGCTCTGTTGTTTATCATTGCTAGACAACCATTTTAGGTCTTGGCATAGATTTTCAAGTAGATTTAAGTCAAAACTGTAACTCGGCCACTCAGGAACATTCACTGTCTTCTTGGTAAGCAACTCCATTGTAGATTCTGTTTTATGTTATTGTCCTGATGAAAGGTGAATTCATCTCCCAGTGTCTGATGAAAAGCAGACTGAACCAAGTTTTCCTCTAGGATTTTGCCTGTGCTTAGCTCCATTCCATTTCTTTTTTATCCTGAAAAACTCCCCAGTCCATAACGATTACAAGCATACCCATAACATGATGCAACCACCACTATGCTTGAAAATGAGGAGAGTGGTACTCATTAATCTGCTGTATTGGATTTTCCCCAAACATAACACTTCATATTCAGGACAAAAAGTTAATTGCTTTGCCAATTTTTTTGCTGTATTACTTTAATGCCTTGTTGCAAACAGGATGCATGTTTTGGAGTATTTTTATTCTGTACAGGCTTCCTTCTCTTCACTCTGTCAAAAAGGTTAGTATTGTGGAGTAACTGCAATGTTGTTGATCCATCCTCATATTTTCTCCTATCACAACCATTACATTCTTAACTGTTTTAAAGTCACCATTGGCCTCATGGTGAAATCCCTGAGCGGTTTCCTTCCTCTCTGGCAACTGAGTTAGGAAAGACACCTGTATCTTTGTAGTGAC